GGCTCACCTGGAGGCACATCTGGCAGGCTCACCTGGAGGCAAACCTGGCAGCCTCACCTGGCAAGCTCACCTGGAGGCACACCCAATGGGCTCTGACGTGCCTGGTTTGCCTCCCAAAGGAAGGAGCACTGCCAGCTGTGCAAAGGGCTTGCGTCTGATGCGCGGCACCGTGACTTTGCCTGTGCCCCGCGCCTCGGCACGTGCTCTCCCGGAGCACGTCTGGGCCCATGGACGTGGGCTACTGGCCTACGCTGGCTGTCCAGTCTGAGACTCCGGCTACTGAGCCAGACTTTGAACGGATGTCGCCTTCGTAGCCTTTTTCCTCAAAACTGTGTTTCCTCAAAGAAACAGCAAAACAAACGCAGTCTAGCTTTTGAACAGCAGGTGCCACCCCCGCCCCGGGCAATGTCTGACTTGCTACCAGCGAGCTTTCCAGTTCGCCATTTCATGAAACGTGCTGGAGACCCGTTGCTGCTGAGACTGGCGCCTGGTGCCAGCCGAGCCGGCTGGACCGAGGGGTGGCCGGGGCGGCAGGCTGCGGGTCTGCTCCACGAGGTCGGTCAGGGCGGTGCCGGAACGGGGCGAGCTGCCGCTGAGGCCTCTGCCTCTGGACGGCGGCTAACAGGGGCCCTGCGCCTCCCGCCCCGGGCCCGACGCAGGCTCGTTAGTGCGAGCTGGCGCCCTGCCCGCTGTCCTCGGGGCACAGCTCTGCGCGCGGGCATGGTGGGCCCGTGTAAGCCAGCGATGACGGATGAAGAGTCTGCGAAATTCTACACATTTAAGAACAGGTACAAATGTGGAACCATGCGGATTTAGTTTCTTTAATTGCTGCGATTTCTAAATTAATTTCCCCTCTTTCCACTCCCTGGGTGACACTGACATCTAGTGGAGCTGAGTCAGTATGTCTGAGCTCCTCAGCCGGAAATCAGCCGGAAATCAGCCGGAAAACGCCCGCGTCACCCCGGCCACTGCGGCCGCCACCTCCGCACCCCACTCGGACCCGTGTCCAGTGCTGAGCCCAGGCCCGCACGGGGCCCCGCCCAGGCCCCCTCTGCCGCAGACACGTGCTGCACCCCCCGCCCCGCAGCGGGTGCTCCGGCTCCCCGCCCCGCCGGTCACAGGCCTGGGGCCGGGGCGCCCTTCTGGAATGCTTCCCAGCGCCGACAGCTGCTGGCCGTATCCTCCCGGGCCTCGGCCTCGGGGTGCTGACTCGCCACGGGGAGGGGCTGCGGCGTGCGGAGTAAGAGGCCCCCCCACCGGCCCCTGCCCTGTCGGCCTGGGCCGTCCCCAGACGCCGTCTCGGCACAGACTGCAGGGGCGGCCGCTGCCCCGTCAGCGGGAAGCGGGAGACGTGCTCCCGGGTGACCGCGCCGCCTCCGGGGTGACCGCACTGACTCAGGGGTGACCGCCCCGCCTCCGGGGTGACCGCGCCACCTCCGGGGTGACCGCGCCGCCTCCGGGTTGACCGCACTGACTCAGGGGTGACCACACTACCTCCGGGGTGACCGCCCCGCCTCAGGAGTGACCGCGCCGCCTCAGGGGTGACCGCCCCGCCTCCGGGGTGACCGCGCCA